CGCGGCGGCGCTCCGGCAGCTTGTGGGCCAGATCCAGGAGCTCTGGGACCTCTATGGCTCCTCAACCGCGCTCCGTCAGAGGCAATCTCCTCCCTCTAATCTCTGTTAGATTTTTTTTAGATGCTGAGATTTTTCTCTTGATGGTTCTATCTTAGTTCTGCTGAGCTAACCTTGTTCGATGATTGGGTAAAAATTTCAACTTTTTGGTATTTTCTGTTATGCACTGCAGCTGATCTTGCCAGAATTGGGAGCTTAGTTTTGTTTTCTTCTTTTTGATAAATTATGATTTTAAATCGGATTTTTTTCGGAGTTTATCTTTGCTTGGATTAGGGTTAACATTTTGTAGGGAGAAAAATCCTTTTGATCAGAACAAATATTCTTTTTTTTTTTTGGTAATATTGTAGGTCAAGTTAGCTTCTTCTTGTTCTTTTTTTTATTTTTATTTTTATTTTTTAATACACACCTAATAGGTGATGATAGTTCTCATTTTTGGGTATCTCCTATGAACAAAGCGTTTATTATGATCCCACATTGTATATGTGGTTATAATGCATCAATATATGCACATTAGCAAGTGGATTTCATAAATGACAAATCTATTCTGATGTGGTATTATCTGTTTCAGAACTATGCTATACAAAAGGATTTAATATCAGAACTAAACATTTTTGGACAAGACTATATGTATACATTTATACATTTTAGAGAAATGAGATATGTTTTATGCGCAAATATAATAAAAGAAGAAAAGAAAAAAAAATCCTCCTGTCCCATTTGGCATGCAAATTTGTAGAACAATTTTTTTTTTGCAATTGCTTGTGATAATCATTCTGAGCTAGCTAGGCCCCTTTAGATGTCATTTTCAAGCTTACAGAAAGCAGTAGGCGACCTAGCAACACCCCGATGCCTTGAGCTTATGCTCCCAAAAGCCTAGGCCGGCCATATGCGGGTTTTCTTGTTTTACTTTTTAATTTAAGTAATTGATAGTAAATACTATTGTTATAAAAAGCTTAGGCGCTGGATTGGTGCGTTGGTGGATTTTTTTTATTCTTTTAAGTGATGGTGGATGAGGTTTTGTTGAAGGTGGAGGAGGTGTTCGTTGTTGGAGGCTGGAGGAGTTTGGAGGAAGTTGGAGGATGTGGAGGCAGTGAAAATCATGATTAAGACCTAAAGAGTACAACCTACGTAAGCAGTCCATGCTCCTCTAGATGCTCCCAAAACCTAGGTGGGTAGCTTAGGTTTTGCCTTGGTACTGCCTAGGCCTAGACGGACGTCTAGGTGGCTCGGTGGAGGCTTTTTAAAACATTGGGACTTATTTTTGCATGGTGGTTCTCATCATTAGTCGACTCTTAGTTCATTTAGCAAACTGAGTTGACCCCACACATATAGGGAATATCGGATATGTGTTGCCACTTGCCACCTTATTAGCAAAATGAGTTATCAAGTGATGGAAGCGGTCAAGTCAACCAGTTATAATGTTTATAATGTGACGAGCAGTGCGGGCTTCATCATTAACCTCTCTTAGTAGCTTATTTACTACTATGAGTTGTCACCTCATATTCATTTTTCCATGTAAGATACATAACACGCGATCACAAGCGTGTGGGTTGGCGCGCACCCACAAATATATATATTCCACAATATTTCACATACATATCATTCCGAAGTTCAAATATGTATGGAAATAAAGGTTAGATCATCCATATCAGAGAGCCAAATTGTTCATCATGATCTACACACTTTAAAGCTCACAAGGATAAAAAGAAAATTACATTGATTGGTTTAGCAGAAAAGCAGCAGACTACCTAGCTTTTGGTGAGTTTTGGAGGCATGTCAAAGTGACATGCATCTGATGATTGTTTTCTATATAGGTTTCACTGAGTAATCCCTGAGTGAAGCCTTTTCTCTTTAAAAAATCTTCATATATTCTTATAATCCTAGGCAGAAATATTCTGGTTTCTCAAAATCATATTTGGAAACTTTTTTTATGGACAGGAATTTTCTACCATGTCATTGTAATGGTGTCTTCTAGTTTTTTGGGACCTTCATCATATTATCTCTTCCACATTGCATATTTAAATAACTTTCATTTTTTAATTATTTGAAATCTGTAAACTAGGAATTTCCATTTGGTAGAAGTAATTGAAAGATATATTGATTTCTTATATGCAACATTTTTGCATGCCTCTTCATTCTGATTACCTTGAATTTTATTCTAGCATAAAATTTTCTATCATAAATTTGGGAATGCCCAAACAAACATTTCGTTGATCGACCATTTATATTGTGCAGATGGTGTTTACTTGATCTTGGTCATAGCTCTATGGAAGACAACTATTATGGTCTCATAATGAAAGGAAAATCTGAGATCTTAACTACAATTGAACCTAACAAGCCTCCTCCAACCAAAAAACCTCGGAGAGACAAGAATCGTAGGAAATTGCTTACTTCTCTGAGTTCAACTGAGAAAATGGACCAACTGACTTGGAAGGAGTTACCGGAAGATCTTCTTGAAGCTGTAATTGCGAGACTTCCTGTAGCAGCGTTTTTCCGCTTCCGTTCAGTGTGCAAAAAGTGGAACTCTCTGCTCACTTCCAACAGTTTCTCCGAGCATTATTCAGAGATTCAACCATCATGTCCTTGGTTCTACACAATTACTCATGAAAATATTAACAGCGGGGCGATGTATGATCCTTCTTCCCGAAAATGGCATCATCCATCCATTCCTTTCTTTCCTTCAAAGATGATTGTTCTTCCAGTGGCTTCAGCTGGTGGTCTTGTTTGTTTCTTGGACATTGGCAACAGGAACTTCTACGCCTGCAACCCCCTTACCAACTCATTCAAAGAACTCCCCCCAAGGTCTGAGCGGGTTTGGTCACGCATAGCAGTAGGAATGGTCCTCAATGGAAATGCTATTGGTGATGGTTATAAGATAGTATGGTTAGGATGCAATGGGGTCTACGATGTCTATGATTCAATACAGAATAGTTGGTCTCATCCTGGAAGTTTACCACCTAATATCAAGCTTCCTCTATACTTAAATTTCAGGTCTCAAGTTGTAGCTATTGGTACTGTACTCTTCTTCATGAGAGGCAACCCGGATGGAATCTTGTCCTATGATGTAGCCTCTGGTGTCTGGAAGCAGTTCCTTATACCATCACCAATGCATTTGACTGATCTCACACTTGCTCAGTGCGCAGGTAAGGTCATGCTGGTGGGGCTGCTGTCCAAAAATGCTGCAGCATGCGTATGTGTGTGGGAGTTGCAGAGAATGACTCTTTTGTGGAAGGAGGTCGACAGAATGCCAAATGTGTGGTGCTTGGAGTTTTATGGGAAGCACGTAAGAATGACTTGCTTGGGCAACCAAGGGTTGCTCATGCTGTCATTGAGGTCAAGAAGGATGAATCGATTGATTACTTATGATGTGATGAGAAGGGAGTGGCAGAAGGTGCCAGACTGCACTCTACCTCATGGTCGGAGAAGACAGCGAATTGCATGTGGTACGGCATTCCATCCGTGTGCCACTGCTTTCGCCTGAAAGATCAAACTTACCTACGGGAAAGGTACGTATTACTAAATTTTCTCGGTTCAATATGGTACTTAGACTGCTTTTCACCATTCCGCATATGAACTACTGACAAGCTTTAAAGATACTGATGGTTGAACTCTTTATCTGTTTGCATGTTCACCTCCAAAATGCCCATTTGAATGCATGCCGTGATGTGTCCTAAAAGATTTGGCTATATCCTCTAACTTTAGAGTATTTATAAAATTTGGTACGTCACTGTTTGCCCAAGTAATGGCTGACGTCCACTTTGTTTACTCATCACAACTCCATTTCACATGTGGGTTAGTGCAAGTTCTAATGCAGGGTTACAGATAAAAAAAACTCTATTTAAGTGTTACTCAATATAGTGATCCAGCTGTTAACATGCCCAGCAGACTTGAAAATCGCTAAGCCTGTCTTAAACATTAAATATATGAACTTACATTTGGATAGGTTGTGACTTCCCACCAATTAAAAGACAGGGCTTTCCTTTGGTTTTGTGTTTCTGTTCAGTCATCTTATACCAAAATAATTGGTGGTGTTGTAGAATTAAAAAGTTCATATGCTTAAGTTTTTTCCTCCATGTTTCTTGATTCTATGTGAGAAGAACATTGTCAGCAGCAGCACGGTCACATTTTTTTATAAAAATATTATCTGATTTGGAAGTCTCATCCAAGTAATCACAAACTGCATCTTCAAGAGATCTGACCTCTCTTGATTTACTTCTTAATATTCAGATCTCATCAAACTTTATTTCCACTGTGGAAAAAATTTGAGTCATTCCAATAGTATATGTTACTCAGCATTATTTTGCCCCATTTATTTTGGTTCAATATATGTAAATCCTTTTAGGTGCCCAAATGGTGATAGATGCAGGTAAATGTTGGCTGATGGTTCAGAAGGAAATAGAGAGGTGTGTTGGTGTCCGATTGGAATTAAATACTAATTACGTTGGAATATAATCTTATGGAGTTTGAGAATATATTATAATTGAAGACAGTGGAGTCCTGTGACATATTTCTCCAACTTCCTTGAGTCTGTGATGCTAATATTTGAATCATTGATGATGATGTCAGGACTTGTGAGTGGCTGTGAACATGATGGTTTGTTTAACTATAACAACACCTTACGGTCTGATTTCCTTGCTAATTGAAACCATGGACTCGATAATGCTTCGTTGACGAAATAGAGCTTCAACTGAAGAAATGCATGAACATATGATGAACGTAATGTGTTTGTGTGTGCGTGATATAAGAATATTAGAGAAATATTTGTGAGAAAGATTGAGCAATTCAAGTTTAACTACTGGATGTCTTATAAGCCAGCATAATCCCTGCTTGAATGTTTCAAACTTTCAATACTATTTTGAAGACACCGTGAAATCAAGATTTGAAGTATGTTTCCTTTTTCTTGGATTAATATTTCTTGGATGCATCATAAATGACAAATCACCTGTTATTTTTATTTTTCTGGATTATGAATCCATTTTTGATTTCTGTCTGCTCAAAAAAAAAAAACCTGTGTGAAAATTTTCTTACCTTCTTTTCTTTCATTGTTTTATATAAGTTTTACAACATAACCTGATATCTTGCCTTTTCTTTTGTCAGGCTCATTTTAGATCCTTGAGGTAAATTCTAAAGTGAAAAAAGTTCTTTCTGGTTAACTGGATTTCAAATTTTCAAAATTCCACTGGATATGAAGTGCTGCAGATCATGGAGAACTTCTGAAAGGCTTATATGAAAGAACAATTGCCGTAGTTTCCAGAATCCAGAGATACTACTAATAGACATATGTTTGTATAAAATACCAGTGTTTTTTTGAAATTTACTGTGTTTCGTTTTGGTATTTATCATCCCCACAACAATCACTTGTGCTTATTCTATTTTGTATTTTGAGTTATTTTGTCCAGCGGATCTCCTTACACTCTTTCTTTTCACCTCCCATCCTTTTTTTTTAAAGGAATCAGCAAGATTCTATTATATTTGCTTCGAAACATAGCATCCAAGAGAATTTTGTTGGCAGGTTTAATTTGTTGGGATTGTTTGGTATGACTAGGATTATAGTTCAAGAATTCGACGCTCTTGGATTTTGGATTTGTATTAAGTACTAGAATTTTCTAATTAAAGTCCTTGACTTCAGTACGATGTTTGAACTTTTTTAGGTTGGATTTTTGGAGTGAAGGATAGATTTTTTGAATTGAAGGGTAAATTTACAGATCATTTGAATTAGAGTTCAAATATATTAGAAAACTTTATATCAAACATTTGATGTCAACTATCTGAATGATTTAATATTAATAATTTTATTATTTAATATATTAAAAATTTAAATACTATATGTATTTGATAATTATGTATGTCATATATTTCATGTTTAACCTTTATATAAATACCAAAAATATAAAAATTTTAATTTTTTTTCTAAAATGTGCGCTTGGGCAGCCAGAGTCATGCTCCTAAAGATGGTAAGGGTCTTCAATATAGTATCAGTAGTTTACATAATTTATTATCCTTGTTATCAAGAAATGAAGAAATTTTAAGAATAACGCTCAGTCTCTTTTGAGATGTATTTATTTCTTGAGAGCAAGGCATAGTTTAGACTTGTTTGGAAAGACTTATTTTTTTAAGCTTGTAAGTTATAGTAGCTTTTAGTGGCTTTTGATTTTTATAATAAAAATACTATAAAAATCATTTGGGTAGTATAGTAATTTGTTTGGTCAAACCTAATTTATTTAAATGAGCTTATAAGTTAGTTTTTCAAAAGCTGATTTATACGAGCATTTTAAAATATAACTTATAAGCTAACTTATTTTATATTTTACCAAACATATAGAAATAAAAAAAACTAACATAAAAGCTAGTTTGACAAAAAAAATAAGCTGCCCCAAACACCCTTTAAGAAAGATATGTAGTGTGGACCTTATGTAATATCTCATCTTCGTAGTATTTCCCTCTGCAATTGCTACGCACCTTTGGGGTCTTATAATGCCCTTATCAAATATGAATATAATATCTCCAGAACTTTCATATTCCCGAGTCTCTAGTGAGTTACAGACAGAGTTAGAAAAGATCAATCATCTCACTGGCCAACCTTGGCCCTGTTTGTTGGAAATTTGTAGTAAAAAGACAATGAAAGAAAAATTTGACTTGTATTCCTCTCAAAATCAATTACAATTTGGATTCCGATTACAAAAGAGAGGAGAATGAATTTGATTCTCCCCTTTATTTAATTCTGGGTTCTTCACGGTGGCGATGGAGTGCCTCCCTCGAATGCTCGCGTCGAGTTTGCTCTCCGTTGACGATCCGAACGTCTTGATTCACTGGAACGATGTCTTCTCCTCACGATTTGACGATGTGGAGAACTTGCGTGGCAAGTTTTGAAATAACTCTTGACGAGTTGATAACTCTGAACGAGTTTTAGAAGAACTCGTAGAGTAAGTTTTGAACTCTGATCGAGTTGATAACTCTGACGAGTTTTGGAAGAACTTGCAGAGCAAGTTTTGAACTCTGACCGAGTTGATAACTCTGAACGAGTTTGAACTCTTGAAAAAGAATTGATTTGAACCGAAAGTTCGGTTAATAAGCCAAGGAAGAAGCTCCTGTTGCTGGTCTCCAAAACTCCAACAATTCCCTTCCAAAGTTAGCCGAAGATCTCTCCTTTGCTGCCCAAAAAGAAGGATCCCAGAGCCCAGCGCCAAAAAGCCCTCTCCAACCTCCAACCCGAACTCAGTTGAGTTTCCCCCTATTTATAGGGGATTACGGGTGGTAACTGCCCCCTTAATCCACTCTTAAGTGGGGCGAAAATCCCTCAAATCGTGGGGAAAAACAGTTCCTGGAACTGTTCATTACGTGCTTTGAACGAGTCAAACGCTGAAAAATAGCGTTCAGGGCCCGAACTCTGCGTTTTTAGACTAAAAACGCAGAGTTGGGCCTATTCTGGTGGCTGAACGCACTGGCCGCGCAGCGTGATGAACTCTGAGACGCAGAGTTAGGATGTTTTAGGCTGAAAACGCACAATTCGTGCTGTAAACACACAGTTGGGTCGTAAACGCACAGTTGACCTGTTTAAAGGCTGAAAACGCACAGTTGAGCCCATAAACGTACAGTTGGCCTGAAAACGCACAATTCGTGCTGTAAACGCACAGTTGGGCCGTAAACGCACAATTCATGCTGTAAACGCACAGTTGGGCCGTAAACGCACAGTTGGCCTGTTTCAGGCTAAAAACGCACAGTTGAGCCCATGAACGCACAGTTGGCCTGAAAACGCACAGTTGAGCCCATAAACGCACAAAAACGCACAGTTTGTGCTGTTTTAGAGATGAACTCTGCGTTTTAGGCTGAAAACGCAGAGTTGTGCCTTGAGCCTGTTAACGGCTGAAAACACACAGTTGTGCTATTTTAGAGATTAACTCTGCGTTTTGATGTTGAAAACGCAGAGTTAAGCCTGGGCGTTTTGACTCTGTAATGCAGAGGCGAAACTTAGGCGGGCTTGGTGAGCTTCAGGCTAAATCCAATGTTCTGACGAAGTCCAGTCTTGCAGACGGACTTCAGAACACAACTTGCTACGAAGAACAGGTCCAGACGGACTTCAGAACACAACTTGCTACGAAGAACAGGTCATAACTTTCAAACCGTACGTCGAAATTGGACGAATTATATATGAAAATCGGCTATCTCGACGAGACGGGGCCATCTGAACCAAGCCGAAGGCTTCGGTTCGCTTCCTCCGTTTTGCCAAATTCCTTACGGTTTGAGAGATATCTGCATTCTTGTAATCTTCGTCTTGGCTCCTTGAAAATATAAGAGTCGTCAGATTGTAACTCCCGATGTTGATTGTGAAGGCTGTTGAATTGGGGCATTCATTAGTTGTCGTGAAGGTCGTCAGATTGTAGCATTCTATGTGAAAGTCCTCAAATTGTAGCCTTCTGGAAGTCGTCAGATTGTAACTTCCATCATCGGTGTTTGATGGGGGATCAACTATCTATTGTGATTTTTAGACAGCCTACAGGCCCCTATAATTTTGGGGTCATATCTAGTATTTAGAGTTTGCCACGATTTGGTATACAACAACAACAACAACAAATCTTTTATTCTAAATATTTGGGGTCGATTACATGAATTATAGTATTCCATTCTATTTTATTATGAGACATCTCCTTCGTGTAGTAAACATAATCATGTCATTCTTAATCGCTTCAAACCAAGTTTTTTTAGATCTACCTCTAAACCTTCTAGCCCAATTAACTATAATACTATCCGTTATACAAGATCAAACTATCTTAGTCGATTCTCTCTCATTTTATCCTCAATAAAAGTAACATCTAATTTACTGCGGATACACTTATTTCTTATCTTATTTTTTAGCATATACCCACAAGACGATTGCAACATTCTTATTTCTGCATATATACCCCTCAAATCTTCCATATTTATAAAAGTATCCTCCAAATCTTGGCATTTGCAAAAATACCCCACAATTCTCTCACATTGGTTTTTTTCTACCCCTTTCACTTAACAATTTTAGTTTTAAAACACTAAATATTGCTGCAAAAATATAGGAATTTTTTTTGGAAATTTTGACATTGCCTTGTTTCAAAACCTACGTTCTTAAGTTAAAAGCGGTAGAAAGATCCTATATGGTATTTTTGAGGGGTAAGTTTGCAAATACCAAGATTAGAGGGATAATTTTTCAAATATTGAAGAAGTAAAGGGTATACATGCAAAAACCCTACATAAAAGGTTTTTTAGTAAGAGCAATCAGGTCCATATATGATCCATATCATACCCATTTACATCCTTAATTAAGTACCTCACAGCATCAAAGGGGTAATCAGCAAAAGCTTTAGGGTGTTATATACTAGTCCTCCAAACAAACGCTTGATTTGTTTGCTTGTCTTCCTTGTTGCATGAGAACTCCCATAACCATCTGCAGCTTTTGCTAGTAATGGATTAACAAAATTTTTTGAGGAAAATAGCTGTCAAGCACAAGTCCAGAGAGATCATTTGGTAGTTTATTACTCTTCTCCTCCATCAAAATTTGACCCATTCAACTGAAGAGAACAGAAATAAATCATAGAAAAATGATCACATCAAAGCTAGCAGAATGCTGCAGCTTTTATTATTATCTTGTTTACAAGTCTATTCTACTACAGTGGCATTATTAGCTGTAGATGCAACTGCAGAGATTTTGGCTTCAACTGGGAACTGAGATCTCATTGGCCTAAACTTGACAGGGGCTGCGATATTTTTTTTTAAGATGGCAAGTCAGATGCAAATCAATAGTGAAAAGTTAAATGAAAAAATAAAAAAAAAGCTAAGTTTATGAAGATATAGCCTGCACTTTGAACAGCCGAACACTTAATATGATCTGCAAGTTGCAACATAAGACAGTTGTTAAGGCATGTGATCGCTTAATATTAAAATCAGCTCTTAGTTGACATCGGAGACAATTCCGAAGTACAATGAGATATGCGCCAATCACACCATTTAAAATAAATTATATATAGTTTTCGATTAAATGGTACGTTTTAATTTGCCTATTCTTAGATTATTTTCTAAACATTGTCTGCATGTTCTCATCATTTTTCAGGACAAATTCAGTTATTCAACTATAAGTAAGAGAGCAAAGATGGCCCAAATCATAGTCCCAAAGGAGGAGAGGGATAGGTTTGAGAGGCAAATATGATTTAAAATTCTACCAATAATTATATCTCAAACTTGATTTTGTCAATCAAATTCCTTAATCCATGTTATCGTTCTCTAACTAACACGCAATCCCGCGTTTAAAACCTTAATGCTCTCCAGCTGCATTTTATACATTTTTAGAACTTAGATTGTTGCAACCATGCAGAAGCAAAGCAAAGCAAAACATGCCCTCAACCCGGACAACAAAATTAAATTAAATGTTGAAAGTTTAATTAACTGCATGCTTTCATTTTGAGTTATTGAACCTGAACCCTTGACTAATTTACATGCCCGAGATAATTCTAGCTTTCTTCCCATATGCAAGCCACATGGAAAAGGGTTGAAAATGTAACCAAACAATATAATAACCTTAATTGCATTCTTCGGTCTATCCTTTCATTAATCTACTGCAACTCTTGACTTTGCTACTCACTTATGCCTATTGCCATCAAAGTAATGCTCCACAACACAACAACAAACAACAACAACAAAGGAAAAAAGAAAAGAAAAAGAAACTTTATACTAACCTCATCTTAAGTATAAACAAAGAGAACATGCCAATGACAGGCTCATGTTTATACCTCCTCTCATGATGTTAGATTCTGATCGACGACTAATTCTCGATCCCTCTCTTACCGATAAACTCTTTCATGTCCTATATATATGACACTCTCAGGCGACGAAATTAAATCTCAAGAGGGATAAATATTTGAACACCCTGGGAGATGAAAGAGATGGAGCTTAGGACGTTCTTGCTTGCGGGGGTGACGGTGTTGGTGCTGGTCGGAGGAGGAGAGGCGCAACTGAGGCGCAGTTTCTACCAAAACTCGTGTCCGAACGTGGAATGGATCGTGAGGCAGGCAGTGATGAGGAAGATAAACCAGACGTTCGTCACAATCCCTGCGACGTTAAGGCTCTTCTTCCATGACTGCTTTGTTGAGGTATTTTTTCTTTTTTTTTTACTGAATGTTTTTGTGAGCTCATGAGCTCCATAAGTACATATTTTGTGGTAGTAATATAGTTTGAAATACAAGCTGCAAAGAGAAAAGAAAAGAATCATACGTGAATATGGCTCAAAAACTATGGAGAGAAGTAGGCTTTACTCTAGGCGTCTTGGTTGTCATCAAGAGAGGAGTAGAACAGGGTTCTGGTTAAGAAAACCGTCATCAAGGGAAGAAATCATAAGGGTTCATTTCACAAAAATCCCCTGCACGTTAGGGAGGTTTTGCACATAGTCCCTCAAACTTTGTTATCTCAAAACAACCTCCCTGAGCTTCGGGGGGTTTCATTACTTTTAACTTTTCTCACGGAACCCTCTACCTATAATTGCCAAATATCTAAATATCATTGAGAGAAAAAGACCCCAATTTAATCATTTGCCATTTACGGTCAATGCATGCATCACCTCTGTCCAATCAAGGATTTTTTTTCAAGTTTTCATGAAAACCCACTAATCTTTCATGTTCATATGCTGTATCAACTAACAAAGTGGACATTATAATTTAGTATATTTATGTCGATATCAAATAAGGTTGAGATAATTCAGGGACATATAGCTAACGCTAAAAACCCCGAAAAATGCAGGGATGTGATGCATCCATCATGATTTCATCCCCAAGGGGAGATGCTGAGAAAGATGCAACCGAAAACCTCTCACTCGCTGGCGATGGTTTCGACACGGTAAACAAGGCCAAGCAAGCGGTCGAGGCTGCATGTCCTGGCGTTGTGTCTTGTGCTGACATTCTAGCATTGGCTGCCAGAGACGTCGTGCTACTTGTAAGTAATGCTGCTTAGAAGCGTCAATTGGGGACAGACCCGCTCTACTATCGCCCAATAGTGGACAAACCCCTTGGAGAGTGGACTTTTTCTTATTACTCTTTTACCCTCAGAGAAAAAGAAAATTGTTGTGTGACAAATAGACATACTGAGGGTAAAAAATTAAAAAAAAAAGATTCACTCAAGGGGCCTATCCGCAATTAACACTGCATAAAAGCAAGCCTAACTGACAATTTGCAGTCTGTTTGAGTTTTCTAAATTTACTCTCCGCCTGTTTACAGTCCGGAGGCCCATGGTTCAACGTAGAGCTCGGTCGCCGTGACGGCCGCATTTCATCAAAATTCAGAGTACCCGGAAACCTCCCACCCGCAAACTTCAATCTCAACCTCCTCAACTGGATTTTCATGAAGAACAACCTCACGATGACCGACATGATCGCGCTCTCCGGCGCACACACCCTCGGCTTCTCGCACTGCAACCAGTTCTCAAACCGTCTCTACTCGTTCAACTCCCCGTCTCGGGTCGACCCATCCCTGAACCCGGCCTACGCCAGGCAGCTGATGCAGGCCTGCCCAAGGAACGTGGACCCGAGGATCGCGATCAACATGGACCCCACCACCCCTACCAAGTTCGACAACGAGTATTTCAAGAACCTGGCGAGCGGGAAGGGGCTGTTCACCTCCGACCAGGTCTTGTTTACGAGCTCTCTGTCGAGGCCGACCGTGAACACGTTCGCGAATAATCCCTGGAGCTTCGCGCAGGCGTTCGCGAACGCCATGGTTAAGCTAGGGAGGACTGGAGTGAAGACGGGGAATCAAGGGGGAGTCAGGAGGGTGTGTTCAGTCTTTAATTGATTCTTGCTTCACATTCGTTGGATTTTCTCTCTCTCTCTCTCTCTCTTTTTTATTTTGGAAATGTTCGGCTTGATCTTGTTTCTCTTATTACGAATTGCATTGGAATATATTATATACTGAAGTGTTTTGATCTTTGAGGTTTTTGTAACGAGGAATAAAATGGAAGGACTGGCTTAGTACGTAGTAACAAAATTTGAGAACCGCAGTAAAACAAGAGTTATCTTGCTTCATTTTCTGGTTTAAGTGTGAATTTGCGTTTTTTTTTAAATTAAATTAAATCTAGTGATTGTTTGTTATGTTATTTTTCGAGTATGGCATTGTATTTTGTTCATTGATCGTCATCGACGCGATCTCTAGCATCAAGAAAGTAATTTGAGAAAAGTAATTTGAATAAAACATGAGGTTTATTTACTTTTTCAAGTTCAATAGTTATCAAACAAACTTGACAAAAATTACTCTAAATGTAATATGTACTGCTACAAACTTATTTTCTTTCAATCAAATGATATAGTTTTCTATGGAAAGGGAAGACGTACAAATCCTATCAGAACAACCCTACGGATAGGGGTGATCTGTATCATTCGCAGGTGGTTGAGGGATTAGTTTTGGAATTTTAAAACCTTCAATCTATGGTGCAAACCACTCTATTTCCACAATGATGATTCTGAGAGGATCCTTGGTAAGATAAAATAAGGAAATGAAAGATAGAGAAGATGAGAGAAAAGGAGGAGAATGATGAGAAACTTGTTTCATCATGTTTGGGAGCTCTAACTAAGGGAACAGAAGAGAAAGGAAGGATATCATAATCAAATCTCAACCATTGATCCATAGTAATAGAGTCAAACATCTTCCAAGATTAATTTCTCTTCCTTCAGCACCCCAATTTGGTGTGACAAAATGACAAGATCCTCATGTAAATTTTCTCGCCTCTCCCCTCACAATACCCCTCTCAAAAAAAGGAAAAAAAAAAAGAAAAACAATGTAAATTACCAAATCCTCTTCCCCTACCCTCGTCTACCCTTCATCCAAACAACTGTAATAAATAGGACTTAAGATATACCTATAAGATTGAAAATTCTAAATTTGGAATTAAAAAAAAAACTCTCTTCTGAAACCTTATTAGGTCAAGTTTACCCATTACAATGGGCCAGGCCCAAGAAAGTCCTCAATCCCTTTTACCACCCTGGCCTATAAAAATTCGAGAGAGAGAAATCAAATTCAGAAGTTGAGGTCGATTGTGCCACAGGTAACCTTACCTCCTCTCCCTTCCAAAAATAGAATAGAAAGATGAGCACCGGCGGAGAGAAAGGCGGCGGTGGGGCGGTGAAAACGCCGGCAGATTTTCTCAAATCGATCCGAGGGCGACCGGTCGTCGTCAAGCTCAACTCTGGAGTCGATTACAGAGGTAAAAAAATAAATTTTTTTGAAAAAGTATCTTCTTTAATTTCTAGGATTTCTTATATTTCTACTTTTCCCTGCTTAATTTCACCCGCTTAGCTCGTTTAGACGCAGATAATTGATTAACAAGTGTTTGTTAGTCTAGGGTTTTAGAAAACCCTAATCTTGGAAAAGAAAACCTAGATTTTGATCATGCTTTAGAAAAATCGACCCACTTGTAAGTTAATCAGTTTAGGCAATATCTCAAGTGGATCCTGGATTGCCAAAGGTAAACCAAAAAAATTCATATTTTTGGATCTTATTTTGCTAGTTTAAAGCAGAAAATTGGATCATTGATTCTGACTAGGGTTTTGGTGTGTAATTTTCACCCCTCAATTAGGGTAGATTTTGGTGGACTAGGGTTTAAGAAAACCCTAATCATGAACACTACTATTGGAAAAAGACAATTCTAGTTTCTGAAACGGTTTAAAAAAAACTTGTGTAAGTTAATCACTTATGGTAATGTCCCATGTGGATCCTTGATTGTCAAAGGTACAAATGAATTAACACTAAATTTTTATGTTTGGATCTTATTTTGTTAGTCTAGAGAAGGTCCTTTACTTAAAATTCCCGATGCATATTTGCATTCTAATGAAGGAACCCTGTTATTAAGTGTGCAAGCAAAATTGAAGCAATGGGACTACTCAAGCTTAAAAGACCAATTGACCAAAAACGTTTTCAATATTTGATACAGGTAATTCTATGAAGAGGGGAAATTCTTGACACTGAGGAAAAGAAAATGAAGAGATGGGGCATTTTAATTTATTCAAAAATCCTTTTATATAATTTTCATGTGCGCTTCAAAAGTTATGGAGCATGAAGCACACTTTAGTTATGATTTAAGCAATGAGGCATGAGCTTCGAGGGATAAATAGCTTTTCTTTTGACTTTCGAAGCAATTACCCTACAAAAAGTTCCGAAGTGAGTTTCAAAAGCCTTTTTTAAATGTTGTTGTTGAGGAATGTGATGTGTCTGGGAAAGTGTGATTAGATAAGTAAAACCTTAGGAATCTATTGATGGGATCATTGGTCATAAGCTTTGACTTGAAAAGAATTAGCTTTCGAAGTGCTACATTATGGATTTCTTAGATCATAAGCAACATGAAGGAAAAACAATATTTGCATAGAGATATTGACAATCCTGAAGGCTTTGTGCGAAAAGCAAATTGTACTGCTTGTCAAAGTGCTATACATACTTTGATGAATCCTGAAGGTACTCCAGGAAAATCTTAGTTTATAAAATGATTGAGCGCATTAATGGACTAGAATCCTTGAGATTGGAGTTTGATGAGGGGTAGGGATCGGAGTTTGCTCAAGGGTGGGAATCGAAGTTGATGTAATTCTTACTTACTTATCTTTGTCTTTCAATTTAAAAAGTTTTCTAGCATTCAAGAGCCTAACATCATTTTGACCAAACCAAGTGATCTATTGCAAAGAGTTACGAATATCTTGTAGCAGAACAAGGTCAAAGCCCAAAATTATGGTCAAAGAGATAGCTGAGTCATCTTTCTCCGAGAAAACAAATTTTCTTGGAAGAAAAATAATAGAAAGGAAAATAAATTTTCCAAAAGGAAAAGTAGCAACAATCGAATAATGAATATCGGAGTGAGCTCTCCATCTTCAAGCTTTTGCCTTTCCTTGTACCCTCACAAAGAATTGAAAGCCTATAAAAATGAGTTAGGGACTTAGGGTTAATAAACTTCACTTAAGAAGAATGACTTAAAACATTAGTTTCTCTCCATCCCTAATAAGTTGTGGGAGGATGTATCTTCAAAAGACTTTTCCTTTTCATGCAGTGTAACCCAATGTTTGCAGTTCCTTTTGCAATGCCCCTTGATGTGAGAATAGTGATATTCATCGTTCAAATGATCTCGTTTTTCCTTTCAGAAAGCTTAATTTTGTTTTCTGATTTTTTTTCTTAGCAAAAAATTCTTTCTTAGAGCTAAATGGTTCATCTCTATTGATAACCATCATTTTGGGGCGTTCTCTTGGTTGATGACCTTTGCAATTGATCATTTAAGTAAAAATGATTTTAGTCTCTTGAATGTTAAAATTCACTTTGTGTTGATTGAGGGATCAAGATAAAGAAGTAAAAAACATATCAACTTTGATTCCTGATCAAGCTCGGATCTCAAGGATTCCAAGTCACAGGATTAAAGGAGTAACTTTAGCCATTATGGTATTCATCAAAATTAGTATAGAATTTTGACGAGCGGTGCAATTTTTTTTTTTTGTGCAAAGCCTACAGATTTCCGCTATCTCTTCGCAAATATTTTCCCCTTCACGTTGCTTATGTACGGCAGGTTCTAAGATACCTATAATGTAACATTTTATAAACTCATTCTTTTCAAGCTAGAGTCCACGACTAATGATCTCTTGTTTGTTACCCATGCGTGTATTATCCTTCCAAATTCGAGGTGGACTAATTCAAAATTTCAAGTTATGACATGTTTATGTTCCCCGAAAAATGTTCTCTACAATTTTCTTGGCATTATTAATTTTAGGTTGGCGTTAAGGCTATTATTTGATTCTCGTTCTGGTTAGGTTGGTAGCTTTTGAGCTAGCTTTTCTTAGTTGAATTTGGGTTCAATTCAGATGTTTTCAATCTCTATCCGATTTCTCAGGCACATACCAACACGAATTGTTTCTTGTGGTGTTGCCATATGTGATAACAAGAAGCATGGATTACATAATTCAAAACTAAATTGGTCCTGTATTGAACTTCCCAACCCTTCGCTTTCCCATTGCTCCCTGCTTAGAACTGTAAAACTTTGTCATCGCAGGTATTCTAGCTTGTTTAGATGGGTACATGAACATTGCAATGGAGCAAACAGAGGAGTACGTCAATGGTCAGCTGAAGAACAAGTACGGCGATGCATTCATCAGAGGCAATAACGGTAGGATTTCTTTACCCTCAACTTAATCCTACAGAGTATCAATTTCATTTTCCGCGTGATATTCTGTCTATTTGTGTATGTATTTTTTTCATTCTAACACAAACATTGCACAGTTCTGTACATCAGCACTTCAAAGAGGACTCTTGCCGACGGTGCCTGACAATGCTAAAGTGTTCTCCTGTTGGAATGATGGCAAGCAGTTTTAAATGCTCTGCTGGTAGCATAGCGAAACTCTGTACTTCTTCATCTTTGTTTAATCAAATTCTCTTGAGAGTTGGTATCGAAATGCATTTATCAGGTTGCTGATTTTATTAAAACTTTGTACTCTCATTATCGAACATCTTTGTGTATGATGCTATTTTGAGGCTATGATGGTGTACTCACTCTTATTCATTACATGGAACAACTTGTAAAAGGAGAAAAGCTCTGGGGGAAAAAAATTCTCCAGATTGATGAGCTTTGAGCTTACTTTGTTGTTATTTAAGTACTATTATTAAACTAAAACTATCAGTATTGGACCTGATAAAATTAGGGTCTCCTCATATACATTCATGGTGCTTGGCCTTACAGCAATTGGCTCATCGATGCTCAAGTCAAGTAAGAAAGGTCTGGTTTCCTTTACAATCAAAGCGAGTTCTTGCTAGATTCTTTAGGGGGTGTTAAGTCAATTGGGACATTTTCATGCAAAATGGGATAATTGTTAAAGTGGAATAATTTTTCACTAGTGGGATAAATAGGAACAATTTTGTGAAGTAGGATATTTTGATAAAATAACGTGGGATAAATTTTCATAATTATGAAATATATATATATTTATGCATTTTGAAGATATAAATATTATTTATGTATTTTAAACTTACTATTATTGATTGATAAAGATATAAATATTATTTATGTATTTTAAACTTACTATTATTGATTGATAATTGCTTACAAGAATGTTCTTTACTATTATATTATTGATTGATAATTGCTTACAAGAATGTTCTTTACTATTAAATAACTTTTGGTTAGACTATAAGAAATTGATAATTATTATTATAATGATGGTCTAATAATGGTGATAACCATAATACGAAAGAAGTAAAGAAAAAAGAAATATAAAAAATAAAAAATAACAAAATAAATATGAGAGTTAACTAATACTTTAAGGGAAATGATCATTATACCCTTTATATATTTGGAATGTTAAATAGGTGGGTACGAGGGGACCATAAACGAGAGTTGCACTTATGCCCATTTATCCATTATGATCAATTTAAAATTTACTTAATGAGTCACTTCTCACCTGCCCATTTATTAAATAGATAAGTCAATAAGCCATATACCAAGTTAATATAGCATTCTTCTTCTTATTCCTATCCCTCTAATAATACTCTATGAAAGGAGAGCGGTAGTATCATTAATTAGAACAGAAGAATTTCATTCTAACTCAAATACTTTTCTTTATCTATGTTTAGCTCTGCTACGAGTTGCCTTCTCTTGTTAATTGATAATTACCATATCATTTTCTTATTTAAGAAACATTAAAATCACAAATAAAATATATAAGTATAAATTTCCTGAAAAAAAATAAAAAATTTAGTGGAGAAGTATAATACTAGAGCCAGTTTAGAGTCATATGATTACAAGAAAATGGGATAAAATTGTTCATAGAGTGGGCAATTGATATGCTGAAGTATAATACTAGAAGTATAATACACGAACTTTTGATGCTTGTTTCGTGGACATTCAAAAGCCAGAAATGGGGAGGGAAACGATTTGGGATAGGAACATAAAATAAAATAACATAAAAAATATGAATTTTGAAACTATACTAATCATTTTAATGATGAAAATATACAAATGTTGGCTCTCATATCCGACAACTCACACTTGTTGCCACTTGCGATAACTCAGACACGCCCCCTCCTCTAATGAAGATTATTAAAAAAATTAAGAAATTAGTTTTTTAACGAGCAAAATTAATGAAGAGACTAGTTAATCGTCGTTAATGTATATACAATAATGACGGGCTTATCATTCCTTCATCGAGTTTTATAAGTATTAAGTTAAAGTTCTCATCTAAACCCATCTTTTGTTTTTCTATTGTTTCAGGTTTCTTCTTTGATTTTTTAAGTTTGTTTAAAACCTGGGGCTGTTGTTATACTTTTTTTTTTTAAAATTCTGGGTCTGTTGTGTTAACATTTTGAGTAATTTGTTAGGGTTTAATTCTCTTAAAAATTGAATTTTTTGATGGTCTGCTGTATATTATCAACGAATCCACTCTTTCAGCCACTGGTGAGCAAAGTGTCGAAAGTAGAACAATATCCGACAATATGGTGTTTTCATTTTTATCTTTTATTTTATTATGTTTTATTTTCAATATCTAAATAATTTCCCTCAACCAATCCCCATCAGTTCAATCGTGGAGAGAAGGAACTCGGCCAGTCCATTCGTAGGACGTGGGTTCGTTTAGACTTTAGAGGCACCCACGACGGCAAGCCTCTCACGTGTGAGGCAGTTATTGCCATGATCCCTTAACCATGTCCTCTTTGACTGTCTACATGTATGACCATGTTCCCACCAATAGGGCGCTAAACCGTATCCGAATTCAAGGAAATATCTGTAATGACGTTAGGATACAAGTATGATCACTCAAATTTATAATTGTAATGATATTTGTTAGGATACAAATATGATTACTCAAACCTATAATCGATAGGATATGGTTGTGAATATAGTTTTATAATAAAATATCCGGATCTGTATCCGAAATATCCAAATACATATTAGTCATAATGTTACGATGATTTTAATTCTTAGATTATGAACTTGAGATTAATTTTAATGATCAAGATGTCTAATGTTAGTTTTTTAGATATAATGAATATATTAATAAACTCTTTTGTATCAAATATTAGCTTTTTAGATATAATGAATATATTAATGAACTCATTTGTATCACATGAACTGTATTTATTTTAATGGTATCTAGTTTACTCATATCTGTTTTGCATTTGCATGCATATATATCCGCTTATATATCCACATGTATATCTGTATCCGTATCCGATTTAGCGGATATAAATATGAATTTTTCTTATGGAGATATATCCATATTCGGGACGGATAAGCGGATAAAGATATGGTAAGTATCATATCTGAACCATATCCAGATGGAATGCATCACTATCCACCATCGTAAATAAGAAAACAATGAAACGAAATAACTTGATGGTCAAAACTTGTGAGTCGTGAACTATAGTTTCGGTTCGTCACTGTAATTAGGAGATTGATGGAAAAAAAAAAAATAATTATGGCAATTGTTTGTCCAAACTATTGGAGTTTTAAAGAGTATTTCAAAAAACAACTTGAATGTCTAGTCGAATATGAGATAACACCTAAAAGTCTTTACAACTCAAATTTCAAATTAAAAAAAGAATTAAATATTTATTTGGCCCATGCAGGTCTCGAACCTGCGACCTTCGCGTTATTAGCACGACG